CCGAATCATATACAAAAAATTTAGCAGGATATTGAGAGATGTTCTTCTCTTCTCAGTGAGATTGGCTAGCCTCCCTGGGATGGTTGCGTGGTAAAGTTGAAGATAATGCTCAACCCCATCTTCTTTTTCACCTTCTTCAAATTCAATTGACTCGTTATTGATGGAGCTTGGTGGGAGCTGCATCGATTTGGTGGGAGAGAGGAGACAGTAATTAATGTCACCCTCAAGCCTTTTGAGGCCAATCTCTTGGAGAATTGGAGCATTGGGTTTATGTGACCTTGTACTGGGAAAGGGAATACCAAGACGTGACTAACTTGGTTTTCACACACACTTGGCCTTCTCTCCATTTTCTTCAATTTTCCTTCTCTACTTGTGAAGTCTTGTAAGGAAATTTAAAGAATGCAAGGAATAATGTCTTAAAATTAAAGAAGGGAGTTGAATGGTAGGTAACGGCAGTTCTTGATTAAGCCTAAACATCGTAAACAAAAAAGAGGAGTATAAAGGTAGAGATGGTTGAAATGACGGCCTGCCACTCCTTGAGCTTGAGGTAGGAATTTCTTATTTTTGGAACAGTATGATTAGGATTAGGATTAGGCTTTTTGAAATAGTTGGTTTGCAGGGAAAATTTTTCCACACAATAAAGGTACCACGTATCTTGTCTAATAATGTTGCGATAGCACCGAACCCTTCGGGTCAAGTGACAATAGTTACTTCAGGTGTATTTCCCCCACTCCCTGGTCTGGGTTTGACCCAGGCCCTTGTAAAAATTGTTCAAAAAAAAAATATTACGATAAATCAGAAAATATGATATTCTCTACTTGTAATAAATTAATCAATAAATATGAATAAATTAATCTGTTCAATTACAAGTAGTTAGGGTCACACCTACTGATTTGTTGCAATCTTATTAGATGAAATTATCCCTGATGTAGTATCCCATTGCATTGCAAAATTTCTCCTCTTTGAAATGGCAAGGAATGATGTTATATGGAAAAAGCTAATCTCCGTTGCATGCAATGGAGATGTGTAATCAAATTCTTAGAAGTTACGGACATATTGAATATCATCAGAAGGGATTTTTGTTGATCATAGATGGTCAATTTCACTTTCTCACATAACTTGGGTTTGTTACTAATATAGATAACCAAAACTTAGAACGTAATAACAGCTTACAAACTTATTCCTATCAAAAAAATCTTTTTCCGCTTAAAAGGGGTAAAAAAATTAAAAAAGACAAATGTATATCCTTGCCTCTTATTTATCATCATATTTTGTCACTTATAATATATTTGAGTTGAGGAGAATTGAAATGAGATGAGGGGAAGAAAAAATTTTTTGATTAATCAAATCATAATATTTAAAAAATATTATAAGATAATTGATTAAAAAACTTTCTCTTTCCCTTTCCCTTTCCCTTTCCCTTTCCCTCTTTTCTTTGTTGTTTTTCTCAATTCAAATATAAAATTAATTTTAAATAGCTAATAAATAAGAGTTTGATCCTTTATTTGAAGCTTTTGAATTTAAATTTTAATGTAGGTGATAGATCAAAAAATTAAAAAAAACAACAGCTAACATAATCAACAATATCTTAGATGTATTAAAAAAGGTTTTGAATTAGCTTACATTATTTTCACGAAGTTCTTAATTCAAATATAAAATTAATTTTAAATAGCTAATAAATAAGAGTTTGTTCCTTTATTTGAAGCTTTTGAATTTAAATTTTAATGTAGGTGATAAATCAAAAAAAAAAATAAATAACAGTTAACATAATCAATAATATCTTAGATGTATTAAAAAGGATATTGGATTAGCTTACATTATTTGCACGAAGCATATGAAAAACTGTTCTAGAGAAACCAATTGACTAGGTATGCAGTTATTATGGATTGAAATTGAACACAAGAAGTGGATGCAATTCATGAGGATCATACCCTTTTGTTTTCAAGTAGTATCTGTCTGTTCTGTGCATTAAAATAAGAAAACTATGTTTCTTATTAAGCAGAGCCTAACATATAAGGGTGAAAAGCACACAAGGTTTTTTCTATGTGATTGCTTATGCCAATATCAGAGTAACAGGCTATAACAACACAGATGCACAGAAACCAAACTAGATTTAGCGTGTCCATGTGTCAAATTAGGATTATTACAAAACAGTTTCTTTTTTCTTTTTTCTTTTTAGAAATCAAAAGTAGGCTAAATGATAAGGACATTCTTTAATGATTGATGGGTTGGGAGTTTGAGAAATTTTGAAGACAAAAGTAACATTGTTTACACTTGCTATTCCTTGACCATTCACTAAAAATAATTAAGCAACCCAAGGTTGTGTTTATTTTCATTGGACCTTATGCTGTGTGTGCCACTAAATGTCAGCTTCAACCATTAACATCAAGAATATGTAATTTAATTAACTTCTTTTTAGCCAACTAACAAAACAAATTTACCAAATATTTATTTGAACATAAGTTCGGCTACAAATTCATCAATGTTCCTATTAGAGCTTCCACCTTCATCAAGTGCCTCTTTGCTCAATTTCTTCCACCTCTCTAAATTACTTCTAATATCCATACTTTTCTCTCCATCCATGACTTCCCTTATACACCACTCAATCTCTTCCTTTCTGATTATGCCATTTTTATCCATTTTAACTCGAATTCCTACCTTCCATACATCTTCTACAAACTTCGCATTAGTTGGTTGGTCTGACCATTGTGGCATTGCTACCATTGGCACCCCCAAGCTCAATGCCTCAAGTGTCAAGTTCCAACCACAATGAGTCATAAAACAACGTATTGCCTCATGAGCTAGAACTCTCAATTGAGTGCTCCAAGACACAACTAGCCCTTTCTCTAATATCTCCTCAACAAAGTTGCTAGGGAGCTTTTTTTGTTCTGTTTCTCTAACAACCCATAAGAAATAGCTATTGCCCCACTTTAGACCCCATGCTATTTCCTCCATTTGTTCTTCTCCTAAAGTGCCAAGCTTCCAAATGATACATAAACAACTTATGCGGCTTCCTTCGAGTCTAGCCACCAGATGCAGGCATCACATCCGGTTTGAATAGGTTGAGGCCATAGTCCTTATCATCCTCCAACCTCTTCTCTAGGTACATTGATGGAACAGTAGGTCCAATTGTCTTGATTGGTTTATGGTTCGCCATCCATTTGATTACCTATTAGAAACCACCAACATGTTTAGCAACATAGAAAAATTTTGGTAGGAATAAGAGTGCTTAATAAAAGATAAAAGACAATTAAAATTGTATCTCATACTTCTAAGTCTATATAACACAAAAACCAATGCTGTAAGACATAAAAAAAAAATAGTGTATTTCATTATTATAGAGATTACAAGTCTAACTGATCTCAAATTAGAGATTTTAAAGTTATCAAGTATAAATATTTTTGAATTCTCACTGATAATAATTTAATCTAATACAATAGTAAGTTAGAGCAATCATGACTTTTAATTTAACTTTTGAATTATACAATATAATTTAATGCTCAACAAAATTACTAAATTAATTAAGTTTCTTGACCTCAAAGATTTTTTGGACTTACCTCATCTTCCAACTTGTCAAAAGTGTTACAAAAGATCCATCTTGCTTCTTCCAAATTTGAGAATTGAGCAATAAGAAAGTTGAGTAGACCAGGATATGCATATGTATTACAGACAAACGAGGGTAGGTCAGTGGCTTCCAAAACCGGCATTGAAGGCAATGCTGCCATAGGCTCTTCCAAAGGAACTTTGAGAGTCCCCAGGTGCAAATGATAGTAGATGACATTAACTCTCCAAGGTTGAGTGTAAAAAGGAGCTCCATCTATGCCTGCACTTCGAGCTCCATCTATGGCTGCACTTCGAGCCACATCTAACACCTATGGCATACTCAAATCATATATAACAAATTTAGCAAGATATTGGCAGGTGTTTTGCTTTTCAATGAGTTTGCCTAGCCTTCCAAGGATTGTTGCATTGTAAACTTCAAGAAGATGCATAACCTCATCTTTATTATTGCCTTCATCGAATTCAATTGACTCGATGACGATAGAGCTTGTTGGGAGCTGTAATGGTTTGGCGGAAGTGGTGACATTAATTAGTGTCACCCTCAGGCCTTTTGAGGCCAATCTCTTGGAGAATTGGAGCATTGGGTTTATGTGACCTTGTGCTGGAAAAGGAAACACCAAGACATGGCTAACTTGGTTTTCACACACACTTGGCTTTCTCTCCATTTTCTTCAATTTTCTTTCTCTCTACTTATGAAACGTGGTAAGGAGATTCAAAGCATGTAGGGGGATAATGATGTTTATTGTCAAAAACAGAAACAAGGAGAAATATTAGAAAAAATATTTATTACTTTCTTATTTTCATTGTAAATATAAAGATTTTATATATAAAACTATATAATAGAATATTCTTAGGTATAAAATTATACTATAGAATATTTCCATATATAAATCTATATAATAGAATATTTTAGGTATAAAACCAATGTATATAATTAATTACAATGTGAACATAATCTTCTAACATAAATACAAATATTTTAGAATAAATGCTGATATTCTAACATTGTTAGAGATAGAAAAGAGGAAAAAATATTTGAAAAAATGTTTATTGCTTTCTTATTTTCATTGTATATACAAAGGTTTTATATATAAAATTATACAATAGAATATTTTTAAGTATAAAACTATACAATAAATATTCTTAAATATAAAATCATACGATAAAATATTCCTAGTTATAAAACCAATGTATATAATCGTGAACATAACAATCTAACGTAAATACTAATATTCTAAAATAAATGTTGATATTCTAACATCTTGTAAACTCAAGGTGGTGGTGAGGAAACCAACTTGAGTTTGGAAAGAAAAGTTTGAAAGCACCTAAGGACATGAGACTTGGTAAACAAATTTGTAGACTAATCCGCAGAATTAATGAAAATCAAATGAACAGTTCCTTTTGCGACATGATGACCAATACTTGACAATAAACCTTGAAATGCTTTGTGTTCATGGAAGGTATCATTGTGAGCAATCTGTATGGCATTTTGATTATCATAATATAAATCAATAGAAGAAGGTTGAGGAATGCCCATATCGTTAAGAAGCCACCATAATGAAAGAAGTTATGATGTAGTATTACCGAGAGCTTTGTACTCAGCTTTAGTACTAAAGTGAGATAGAAGAGTGTGTTTCTTGTTCTACCAAGAGATAAAAGAATTACTAAGGAAAAGACAATAATTAGTGGTAGATTTGCAATCAAAAAGATCACTCATTCAATCAACATCAAAGTAAGCATGAAGCAGAAGGGAAGAGTTAGCAAAAAAATGACGTGTATGAAACAATATTCCTTTAACATAGCGAATAATGCAAGGTACTATTGTATCATAAATGGAGTGAGGGGTAACCATAAACTAACAATGTGAACTGCATATGCTATGTTAAAGCATGTCATGGTAAGATAAACCAGACTACCAACCAATTACCGATAACGAGTAGGATCAAAAAGTGGAGAGCCATCCATAGATGCAAGTTTAACATTAGGCCCAAGAGGTGTGTAGAAACAATCTTACTATCATTAAGTTCAGCTTTAAAAATAACATTGAAGGCATACTTTACTTGAGAGAGAAGGTAACCATAATCTAAAGAAGTGATTTCAAGTCCCAGAAAATAACTCAAAACACCAAGATCTTTCATCTCAAATTTTTTACTGAAAGACCATTTTAGCTCATCAACACTTGCAATATCATCTCTAGTAATAATTATGTCATCAATATAAAGAAGTAAAAGAACCATAGCTCAAGCAGTCTTACGAATGAACAGAGCTATATAATGTGGACTGAAAGTAAAACCAAACTCACTCACAGTAGCATTGAGCTTTACATACCAAGCTTAAAGGAATTGCTTCAAATTGTATAATGCGCATCACACTTGACATACCTTGCTTGAAGGATGATTGAATCTAGAGTTGGTTTCATATAAACTTCTTCTTTTATGTCACAATTAAGAAAAGTATTTTGCACATCCATCTGAAATAATTTCCCTCTCCATATAAGAGGGCTAGCAAGCAAACTGCACACAGATGTGAAACGTGCAACTAGAGCAAATGTTTCCTTATAGTCTATTCCATACTTTAGTGTAAAACCCTTAGCAACCAAGCATGCTTTATAACTCTCCACAAAATCATAAACTTGCATTTTGATCTTGTACACTCATTTATAGCCCATTAAAGACTTTTCAACAAGGAGATCAACTAAATCCTATGTACGAGTGCTCTCAAGAGCCTATAATTCATCTTGCATAACTTGCTACCAAAGAGAATTAAGAGAGGCCTTTCAATAGTTAACTCTTTTACTTTATTTTATTACTATTATTATTATTTTTTTTTGGGATCTGATGGGTGTAGCAGAAGACTTTTTCTAAAGAATGACCCTTAGGAAGCTAAAGAACACTAATAAAGGGATCCTTTAACAACCATATAGAACTTCTACTTTGCTTCCTAAACAAAGAGGCTCACAATTTTACATGCTAAGGGTTGAATGAAGTTACAACACTTCGTCATGTGCATTTCTCACAGTTGAAAGTTTGAATAGCCAAAGCAAGCTAAGACAAGGGGCAAAATAATTGGCATTTTAAAATATCAAATTCTTCGAATTTGTGAACTATGTTTCCTCAAAGAAGTAGATGAGATATATAATATGATAATGCTCTACAAAACTCAATGCTTAAAATTGCTGACCTCAAGAGTGATTGTGTGGTCAAACACATCAATAGCCTTGCCCCTAAAAATGTTGGCAATGTCAAGTGCATCTCTTCTAGCAGCAGCATTCACAGCAACCTTTATCAGCATTAACTCTTGTCCAGCAAATAGCAAGTGGGTAAGATCCCGAACCTAAGAAGTCAAAACTAGTAATCAGCCATTGGTTCACATCAGACATCATATGTGTAGAAATTATAACCACGACCAATCCGACATCAAATGCCTATAAATTTTAACCATGACCTATCAAGTAGACTTGCTACCATACAAATCTTGATGAATAACAGTAGTTACATGAGTTACAAATGATGAGCAGATAATAAGTGCAATATTCATACGACACATCGCAAAAAAACCAATCATGCTTCATTTAAGAACAGTTCAATATTTATATCGATGAAGTAATTATAAAGCCAACAAGAAAGGGAGCACAAAATGAATGAACAAACTTGTATGCATTTAACCTGTAAGACATAAAATTGAGGATGATCTGATGATAGTGAAGGGAAAGCTTCAAAATTACAATTATAAAATCTATTGCCTCTCAGAAACTCATTCCGGATAATATCTAAAGCACCCAAACTCAAAAGCATCTGAAGGATAAACAAGCTAAAATGAGGCAGGGAGCATGTCACTTCATTTCAAACTATTCTAGTAATCTAGTTAAATTATCTCAGAAACCTATATTAGTAAGCAGCAGTGATCTTTAACCAATGAAGTTTCTCAATTCCTCTCAATTGGTATGCAGACACTTCTATGTGGCTTAATACTCTTGCCTATCTACACAATGAGTTCATTCCAAGTAGCTTTCTCACTCATGTAGATCTACTAGCTTAAAGAGTTGCTGTGTCAATTTGCTAATTGATTCATCTGTACCAGGAACAACAGTTGTGATGCGTGAGAGTCCCTCAGCTTCTGCATGTCCCATAGCCAAACTCTGGTGATGGGACACACAATGCAAAAATACAATGGGTAAGTGACCTTAAAAAGACGCTAAGAGACGAGAGGGTACAATAAAAAAAAACAACCTGAATATTATATCCCCTTCTCGCAAAAACCGTTGTTACAATGTTAAGCACTCTGGGGAGTCATATTTACAAGCATGGATAAGGTGTGAGATCAAAGCCCACTTGTCTGAAAAATTTCAACACTAACAATTATGTTAGTTTATACAAAAGACTAGCCTGTTCCACACAGAAATCGTGACTTCTAAGGCAATGCTAGCTCAACAGTACATTAAGATAAAAGAATTTGTACAATTCAACCAATTGCTATGCTTAAGTTTAAGATTAATAGATATCCTATTATCATTAACACAACAAAACTCTGCTAAAGCTCAATTAGAATTTAAGGGATTGTAGGATTTCGGTCCATGTATTGTATAGTTTCGTTGTGGGGAATTTTGTTTAACCCTTGCTTTCTTAGGAGCAATTAATTTTGTTAACTTCTATCTTCAATGGCATGATAGGGAAAACTGAAGTTTTCCCTCAACATATATAATATATATGATTCAAAATTAGTATCTTTTATAAAATTTAGTAGAGGTTTTAATTTAGAGTTAAGTTCTAATTGAAAATTCTATATATTATTCTTTAATTTATTTAACTTATATAATATATGAGTCAAAATTAGTATTCTTATAAAATATGGTAGAGATCTTGATTTGAAATTAAGACAAGATTAAAAACTCTACATGCAAAGCAACTAATTTGTAATATAAAAAAATGTACTTAACCCTTTGGATGCAGTGACATTAACCACATTGAAAAATATGTACTCCCCTCTTTCCTTGGACTTGAATTCGATCTCGTCCCATATTAACATGTTCAAAAAAAATTTTAATATAAAAAAATATACCTAACCCTTTGGATTCAGTAACATTAACAACATTGAAAAATATGCACTTCCCTCTTTCCTTGGACGATTGTACCTGAATCTGATCCCGTCCCATATTAACATGTTCAAAAAAAAATTTTAATATAAAAAAATAATTTTAAGTACTCTTTATCTAATTTTTTTAAATGCAACTTATAAACATTTTTCAAATTTAGTTTTCTTGCTTAACTTTTTTTTACAAGCTAGTAGTAATTAATCACCCAGTAGACTGAAGAGTTCGTCTGGGACTCTGGGCCCAATGAAGGCAAGGGGACCGGAAAATAGAAATAAGTTTGGTTTGGGCCAATTAGAGATGTCTCATGTACAATTATCCATAGTTCACCGACCTCACAGTCGGCATCTGTCACGGCCCATTCTACACATATAAAAGTCAATGGTGATATGTCATGAAACTATTTTATGGAATAGATTATATTAACACTATCCTAGAAAATTATTTAAATATTTTTAAATTTTATTTTATATTATTTTTGAAAAATATTTAAATAATTTTACGTGATAAATTACATACAATTTATTTTATAAAACAGTATATTGTATGCATAAATCAACTTGAAATAATGCTTCGTTGCTAATAAGGCAGCATTCGGAAGGTTTATCTTATTTAGTTTGATTGTGATTTTGAGATTCTGAATCTTTAGTTTTAATTTTTATAAATTTTATAATTATTAAAATTAAATTTTAAAAATTTATTTGAAACAAATTTTAATACTAATAATTAAAAATATTTACTTGTTTAATGTTATTAAAATTATTTTATTTTATTTTTAATAATCATAATAATAAATTATAAAAATACATGAAAGTAGACTAACTTTTAAGTTTAAAACTTCAAAATTTATAAAAATTAAAACGAAAAACCCAGTATCATAACCATACTAACATAGCTTTAGTCCTTCATTTGTGAATGTTATATTATGCTACATTATGGTTTCAAAAATGATTTAGAAATAAATTTTTATATTATTTTTTAACATAATTTTATGTGTCATTTAAATTATTAATTTTTTTATTTATTTAAGATTCTTAATATTGAATATATTCATTTATTTAATAACATGTAAAAGTTATATAAAAAATATTATTTTTATATTATTGTCTTTATAGTTTAAGATATGGATTTTTTTATCTTTTATTACCTAAAAAATATATTAAATATTAATTAAAATTAATCAAATTATAAATTTATATTATTTAAATAATATATTGTGTGAAAAAAAGTCAGTGCCAAGTATTATAAAGCAAAGATCTCGGACAAAACAGAGTTTCGATTTCGTTAAAAGCAAAAAAAAAAAAACAAAAAAAAAACACTACGTCTTAATTAGGCATCGCCTTGACTAATGATAAAGGTAACAGAAGAGCTGGGCTTTGCTCCAAAGTCCTCAATATTCCAAGGCCGAGAGGAGTTACAACCCGTGAATGCTCCATTTCCCCTGGTCCCTATTGTGTGATCCACCAACCTTAATGTCTCGGGTCCACGTCCATTAATATTTCCCCACAAGATGCTGAATTTCCTCAATTCCATTGAAAATTGGAACTATAAATAATGACATTAACGAAGTAGGCATGTGGACTTAATGGCCGCAATAATTTAATATAAATTTTTTTTACCATAATAAGAGTTTGATCTCCCTTTTCATCTTTTTTCCACGAATCATTTGTCTTTATCAAAAAATAATAATAATAATGACATTAATTGATATATATTTTAATTTAATATATTATATAATATTTTTATTAAAAAATTAATTATATTAATTATATATTTATATTATATTTTAACAATTAAATTTGAATGAATATTAAAAAACAGATTAAATTAAATGTGTACTAATCATTTATTTGCAAATAAACATAGCCATTAATGATTAATGGATTGATCGAACCTTACAACTTGTAATGTAATGCTTTCTTCTTCTTTTTTCTTTTTTTTGTAGAATGTAATGCTTTCTTTATGAAGACAATGCTGCAATGCATATGACTTGTCCTTTCTTTAAAAATAAAAGATTTTGTCCTCCTAAAATCATCACTGACTCTACTCTAGAATCCTCCCGTTTCTGGCTATAAAGTAGAATTAAACTTCCCAAAGCTCTCTGTTTCTTTTTGTTGCTCGGAAGCTCTCCAGCATCTCGAGCAAGCATGGTGGAGCCGGTTAACCATGCTCCTTAGTCCATCGGGCACTTTTGGTGATTTATAGGCTTTTTTGTGGCCCCTCTTGGTGGTCTTTGTTTTCCTTTCTTTTTTCAGCTCTTCGTTTTCTTGTTTTTGTTTGTAACAATTTAGATATGGTAGCCAAGAAGATGATGTAAAAGAAATTAAGGGTTGGTTAGTATGGACCTTTAAGCTACGTCATTATGGAGATTATAGTAGTAATTTGTTTTAAAAATAGATTTAAAGGTGTAAAGTAGCAGTGGAACATACTGGAATGCATAAATATTTGTTTTTCTCAAATGTTATTTTGTGTGATTTACTCATTACTTTTCTTTATCAATAACTAGCATTGAATTTGATTTTTTTTTATATCTCCATTTGTACTTTTTTGTATTATTTATAATTGAGATAAATATTTTATTATTTATGTATATATCATATGATTATGTTTCATAAATATAATTTGAAAAAACTGTACTGCACAACAAAGAATCACAGTGATTTTAGTTGTGTTAAAAAAAAAAGGATTGTGTCCTTCTCTTTTTGGAACATTTAATGATAAAAATATATAATAAAAAATAATCATTTTTTATTTAAATTTCATTTAATTTTTTCACCTTGATTTAGAATCTAATCTCAGCCATAATTACAGTAAAAAAAAATTTAAAACTTAGATGAAATACGGTACCAGAACGAGTTGGACAATATCAATCGGTCACTTGCTCGTATTAGGGTCGATTTTAGTCTGTGTTAACTCGGGATTAACATGCACCCATATATATGTTCATCTAGGACAGCCATGGTGACAGTGGTGACGGTAGTGGTGAGCTCAAAATTAGAAAGTTTTCCATATTTTTGGTATATTTTTGCTTTTCATTAACAAATGTCGTTTTCATTTGCAAGATCATGCCCTATCCCCACTCAAGTGTTACCGACAACCCCTTAAAAGCAAATACCAAATAAGATCCATCATTTCGTCTTAAAAAGAAGCCCTTAAAGCATTAATGCTTACTTGAATATCAATTAGTCAAATCAAACTTTATAATATCAATACTTTTATCATTTTATTGGAGTATGACATTTCCCTCCATTAATCATGCATTTTGTTTAATATTTTATATTTTATTATTTAAATTATATCATATTATAAAATTTAAATTATTAAATAAAAATAATTTTTTTTGAACTTAATAATATGGGTCAAGTGGCTTTAACCACTCTTATAAGGTTCATAT